ACTCCTGCAGAGCGTCTGTTCGGTACCTGGGACTTTGTGTGCGTCAGATGTTCCACAACAGGAACGTGTAATGTCAGAGATTGTTCTGCACCATCCTTTAAGCGTCTCCTCAGGCACCCTGTGCTCTCAGCAGTCATTGATTTTCCTGGGAAATGCAGTGCTCGGAAACTGGGGCGAGCTGGGGGGGATTTCCTGTGTCCCACGCCCACAGCAGCTCCCTGCTGCTGAATCACGGGCAGCTCGCTGCTTTCACTGACGACACAGGAGCTCTGCCCTTCAGCTGCAGCTCTGCCTGGGGTACCATGGCAACTGTCATTATCTGTCTTTAACAAAGACACTGTGCACCAGTGTCCTCACCGTTTCTTGTCTCCTCCTCTTTCTTTGCACAGTTAATAAACAGCTCGCCGATAAAGAGCGTGTGGCAGCTGCTTTGGAGAACTCTCACCTCCTGGAAGTGGTGAATCAGTGTTTGTCTGCTCGGTCGTAATTGCCTGGTGAGGAAATCACTGGCATTCTGCTCTGTTAAAGTAATTTTGTATTTAAGTGGTGGTGTTACACTATACATGTAGCTATGAGCAAAATAAAATCACTTGGATTTTCTTGAGAAAATGTTTCTTTACTCTTGCAAAAAATAAATTGTGGGGATTAGCATACAGGCAGCTACAAAATTATAATGAAAGTTGGCTTTTTAATTGTATGAGTCATTGCATAGGTAGGATTTTTCTTTTAAAATATTTGTTTCCACTTGTTTTTAACTGGTTTCTCACTACCCAGAACTAGTTATAAACTGCATTTTAGAAGTGGATCTTGTACGCTGGACTTGACAAGTACACCAGGATAATTTGCAGTTAAAATCTTTACATTCACATGACTGTTTTAGGCTGCTAATACAATTTTAGCTTCAGACATCAAAAGCTGTACAAGTTCGTGTGTGCAGAGTTGTAGCACATTTTAGCAGAATGTGTAAACACTTCTAGGTCATGTGCCTGGTTTTAAAATTACATTACCTTGGATTAACCAAATACGGAGTGCTCTTTATAAAACATGGTTTATTTTTCATTACTGCTTACTTGTGGTAGAAAATTCAGGAATTTTGAGGGAGGGGCTTTTTTTTATGCACCTGCCACAATATAGGAGTTACTCATTGTTTTCAGTATGAACAGCCCAGCAGCGCTCTGCTGTGTTTGACAGCTAAATGACAAGTTTTGCTTTAAATATATTGAGATTTAATACTAAAACCTGGCCTGTGCTTCTGGTTTGGGAAATGTGGCATTCACTAAGCTGTTGTCTTTGACAAGAGAAAAATTCATTAAGAATTAATTTGAACTATTAAAAAGATGTCTCCAGTCATGGACAAAGTGGAAAAATAACAGCCTGTTAAATCCTGTCAGGTATTTTGGTGCCTGCACATGTACAGTGTTACCTTCATCATCATCATCAATTATCTGGAGAATAAGTAACAGACTTCCTAAAAAGTAGATTGTGCTCCCCTTGCCTTTGCTGAGCATCCTTTTGAATGGCCAGCCCTTGCTGGGCTGCATGAATGAAGCTGTAAATAAGGCCAATGTTTATGTAATATTAATATTGGGCAAGGAGCAGAATGACCCAGCTGTCCTCTCTGCCTCTCGTGGTGAATCACTGGACTGATTAGTTGTGACATTGCCAGCATTTGCACCACAACTGACGCTTCAGCCGTGGGAATGCAGGCAGGCAGCTCCTTTGCAGCACACTTGGGTGCTTTCATTTTGTTTGCTGGTTTTTGGTGGCTTTTTAAATAGAAAATGAATTTAGCCTGCCCAGATTTTGGGGTAGAAAGGAATGCAAG